CTAGCAGTTCAAAAGACTTTGCAGTCTGACGCATCAGTCCACAGCACCACACTGTCCAAAGATAAAAAGAAATCATAAGTATGCTTCATCATAATTCAGAACTACCTGTATGTTGTTGTTAAGTGCCATTGAGTCAGTTCTGACTCATAGTGACTCTGTGTAGGGTTTCAGAGGAGCTGTTGGTGGGTTGATCCACTGACCTTGAGGTTAGCAGTTCAGTGCTTATCCTACAGTGCTACACCAGAACTCCTGTATATTAATATGTAATTTCTGCTTTGTGGGTTATAATCACAAAAAGAATACATCCATTTTTGTTTTCTTTTCTTTTTAAAAACATTTTATTGTGCTTTAGGTGAAATGTTACATAGCAAATTAGTTTTCCTCCCTGGGTTTCCAGTCTTCTCACCTTTGGTTTGGGGCAAATGTTGCTCTGCGCAGCACTGTAATCACAGGTGCTTCTGTTGGCTTTATAATCTTGTCTCTGATTTAGCTGAGAGGTAGCCTCCAAGAGTATCTTCAGTTTCACGTTAGAAGGTGGTCTTAGGGTAATAGTCTTGGGGTTTCCTCCAGTCTATTTCAGACCAGTAAGTAGAGTTGACCGTGATGATGGTAGTGGAGTAAAGCTTTCAGGACCTTACATGCTGATGGGGCACAACTCAAAATGAGGAGAAACAGCTGCAAACATCCAATATTAACTGAATATGGAATATACAAAGTATGAATCTAGGAACATTGGAAGTTGTCAAAAACTAATTGAATGCATAAAGATCGATATCCTAGGCACTAGGGAGCTGAAATGAACAGGTATTGGCCATTTTGAATCTGACAGTCCCATGGGTTACTCTTCCAAGAAGGGCAAAGTCAGGAGGAATGCCATAGCATTCATCATCAAAAAGAACATTTCTGAGATTCATCTTGAAGTACAATGCTGTCTGTGATAGGACAATATCCATACGCCTACAAGGAAGACCAGTTAATACCACTATTATTCAAATGTACGCTCCAACCACTAAAGCCAGTAATGATAAAATTGAAGAATTTTACCTGTGGAGTTGTAGGATAATCACCAGACTACGAACCACAAGGCCAGCAGTTCAAACCCACCAGCTGCTCTTCAGAAACACTATACAGAGTCGCTATGGGTCAGAACTGACTTGACAGAACTTAACAACAACAACTACCAACTTCTTCAATCTAAAATTGATTAATCATGCAAGCAAGATGTATTGATAATTATTGGTGATTAGAGTCAGTAGTTGGAAAATGATAGAAATGATGCTGGAGATCACATGATAAAAATTGTAAAGACCAATGACTTATTTATCGCAAAACCCTTTTTTTAAACAGCATAAAAGAAGACTATA